TAAACCTTTGACAACCAGAACGTTCCTCAATTGAATGATGGACTGATAGTCCTTTCAGTCAGTTCGAATACGCTAAGGGCCTCCTGGGCTTTTTTCGCAGCGCATTGCTCCTCGCACACTTCTGTATCGACCTGGTTGGGTCTGGTCAACAGCGCGAATCCGTCGATCCAACTGGGGATCGGAACCGGGACCTCAGCGGTCGAACGCAAGCCTACTACCTACTTACCCCCTGATGGGCAGCTAATCCAGCCGTTTTTCATTTTGAATATACACGATACAGCACAATCCATCTTTGCGAGGTTTTTGCGGGTTTCGGACCTCGCTCATCGCAACACTAGCTTCGGTTCGAAGTTTTCACTGTGAGTGCTTGTTGTATGTATTTTTTTAATTTTGTTTTGCCCACAGAACAATCATCCCAGCCTCAATCTTTACGCAAACGTGAAGCCAATTCGACTCAGTCCATCTCAGCCAATACCGTACTGAAAGGCGCTGTGTCTGAGGTTGTGCGCACCGGGGATCGAGACGAAAATCGTCGACGCAGGACGCGTGCTCCCAAGCTTCAGTCGCCTCAGTCTCTATCCGGAGATCCGGCTAATTCTCGTCCCAGCACATGGGAGCAACTTCGTGTCGTCGTCCGCGATTCTGATGCGGCCAGTTTGCCGGACGCGACAGAAGTGAGTCACGTTTGGCGTTGTTTTTCGTTTGTTTCGGTGCGCGCGTACAACAGGCAATTTTTGCATGCTACAAGCCTAGTTTGAGAACAGACAACTGTGCTACACCAAATTAATTATCAAGTCAAAACAGAAAAAACGTTAAATGCGTAGCTTGTTTGGATCTGAAAGTACATCTATGAGCAATATATATATATATATATATATGAGGGGAACATAGTTAGTAAGCTCTTCTCTATACCATGATCGATTGCTCGATTACGATCGGGGGTGTTTTTAATCTTGAGAATGTAAATACAGTCGCCCCGCTAACTTTCAGTCTTGTTGCCGCATCACACACGCACATAGACAACCACTGAGACTATTGGAAACGGTTTCAAGTCATTATTTGTCACTAGTTGAAACACAGACCACTGTTATCATGTTATATTTCACACGTGCCTGATTTCGGACTGTGCAACAAACGATTCCTGGCACAGCAGCCTTTATGACATGGAAATCGATCCGTGATTTGCTCGTGGGTGGAATACTGACTGGCAGGTGACCCGTGCCTATCTATGCAGAACGGAATGGTCACGTGTTTTTGATTGCTGCGGGTCCCGTTCAATTTTTTGTTGCTTGGACTCTATTCTAGACGGGATTCAACTGTACGATAACCCTGACTAATTTGTACAAATCGATTATCCTTTGAAGTCAGATTTCTCCAGTTTTCAAGACTGAAATTTTCCCTTGTTCGCCGATCCTGCGGATTTGTTCGTATACGTTTCACGACCAATCGAAATAGCACCTTCCGTACTCGAATCCGATCGCCGCAACCCCCACCCCGCGCTAAAAAATATACTTTTCTTACGTGACTGGGTGTTTTATCTCTAACTTTCTGCTCAGCTGTTCATCGCTAAATTCACGTTGGATAGCTTTCATTCGTCTTAACAGATTGTCTGGGTCATTGTGGTTCAGGTTGTTCGAATGCTGTCGATGTGGTTTATTGATTCAAGTTTAAAATCGCTACTGGGAGTGGGGGGACCGACTGTTCTTGTCATTTTGCACGTATTTACCAATGTAGAAGTTACTGTGCGGTTTTGGGATCTGATTTATGTCATGGAGAGCGGTGAAAAACATCGCATAGTTTCACTCCTGTAAAACAAATTGTCACATTTTTCGTGTTGTTGTTTCACTTTGTTGCTAAAATATGTTCATTTTTTGAACTGTTGATAGCACACGCTTATTCACATGCTCACAGTCATAACAGAACGTCAGAATACCGGATACGTGTAATCCTGAGCGAGACCGAGGTCACGTGATGTGAGCCGTGTTGATTCATTCAATCCTACGACATGGCTTTGTTACTATAGACAGGATATAAATCTATTTGTGCTCTTGCTGCTGAACAGTAAATCTACCATTACGGATGCGATGTTTGATCACTGGAGTGGGCCTTGCCTTAGTTACGATCACGGAAGAATTGCGGAAGTGTATGAAGTTGTGATGGATTTTCTCTTTCGCCGACTCTCCGATCTCTCTCTCTTTCTGTCACAAAGGGCCATAAACGGTCATAGGAGGCATTCTGCCGTGCACAAAAAGGTAACCACCATCACCACTTGGCCGTGCAGAGAGCATTTGGATGTTCCAAGGCCAAACGCGCATCCTCGAAGATCAAGACCTGGTGCCCGTTTCTAATGTACTGCTTAGGTTTTTACACAAATTTCCGGTCAACTCAAAATATGCTTCATACATTTAACGCGATACACACAATACATATACGAGAGGAAGAATTAAATTTTTGTCTATCAATGAGGCTGAACGATTCCCAGATGTGCGAAAGTTGCTCCGTATTTGATAATAAACTACGTATATGCTAGTGTTATAATTCTACCGGACGGTGCTCGGTTGATGATAGTTGTTTATTTTAGAGTACGGTTGGAAATTTACTAATTTGGCATGCATAGCACAGAAATCTCATCTGAAGTATACCATAGCAAGTCGTGGCAACACCCCCGATAATGAATATATCAATCGGTAGTTATTCTTTGAGACTCAGCAACCTGCCCTCGGTGGTCTTGTTCATTTATGCTCGTTAAAAGAAATCATCACGTAGTTTGCGTACTACTCATAAATGTGAGTAGTACCTCATAACACTGGTTTATCGTGATGGAAAAGTGAGTGGATATTCTTCACCGGAAGAAGCACGTGAAATGCCATTCACAAATGAACATCACCATATCATCCAAGCTGATTCCGGCTATTCTCCCCGTCTTAGTCAGCCTAGTGATATAAAACACGTTATGTAATAAGCGAAGTAATGGAAAATGTGAATAAATTTTTTTTGCGGTATATCACTGTGGGTCGGTCAGTCAGTCAGCTAATTAATAATGGGCGTCAGATGATCTTTATGCGTGCGCATTATCAACTTCGTCGACAACGAGATACGAGATTGGAAGAAATAGGCTAGGGGACAACAAGCCAAAGTTAAAATTTGCAGGCGGTTGCTTTTTATAGGGGTTTTGCACACAAGTGGAATCGTGTGACCGAGCCAACATAGATGAGGAATGTCACTGTTTGGATTTCGAAATTCAAGGCACGATAGAAATTCATCCGTGTATCAACTTCGGATGCATGACCACCATGAACTCAAAGTCAGGAGTTCCAACTACTACACACTCACATGTAGACTGATCAGAAACGTCGGAACAGCATTGGTCCAAATCAGCTCGCTTTAACAAATCGACATATCTGGAGCCGTTAATGGAACAGCTTAGGTCATATTATTCGAGACATACGAAAGTTGTTGAAATCCGAAGAGTTACGGTGCACTGAATTCGATGTCGTTTCTATTGACTCGTGATGAGCTGCGCTGATTGTTCTCTGAAGTGCCAATACATGTTGCCGGATTTTATGAGCGTAATATTTGCTTCAGTATTGTTACAGGGTTTTTTTTTACACGGCGAAATAAATGCCTTCGAAAGGTCGAAGTACACCACATTCACATTGCATCACCGGGATCGGCTAAACTTATCCACTCTTATCAAGGCCAGAAGCAAGTTCGTTATGCGCAACCGTTTGCAACCGTTGCATCATTTAGAACAATGGATTTCATGACTTTGGGCAATTCGGGAGAAAATGACGGGGCAGTGATCAGCCAGCTCATTACGACAGCGGCCTTTGTACATAGATGAACATAGTCCTTGTTTCCATAAAGTGTGGACTGCATACAACAAGTAGTAACCAAAAACGAATAAAAACCGGTGTGTAATCATAAGCGCAAATTCAGTGAAGGATATGGGTAAATCATTGGCGTAATCTTTACAAGAAACTATGGATCAGTCACATTTTTTATTGACCAAAACCATGTCAGAACTAGGTTGAATTGCTTACACAAATGTGGTTTCATATTTCTGATTGCTACGGTTTCTGTAGAATTTTCCTACGTACACACCTGGGTTGGCTTCTGGGTGCTATGAAAAAACTTATGAACGAAATACTGAGAATATCTCACGGAATTGTTTTGACAAGTTGCGTTTCTCAGTCCGGCATGTAACGTCTTGTCGGAATGAGTGTTCTCCATTGTCACTCCCTCAGGCACTGTTTCCCTGCCGACATCTGTCTATTATGGAAAACCCATTCAGTATATCTTACATTTATATTTACTTATTTCTCGAAACTTGTGACCAACTCCGCATATTAGCCACTGGAAATGTTAATCCAATTGTAAATGAGTATAACTGGTCACATGACTGCCCTTTCTGCCATGAGACTTCACTGACACAGTTTATACTACATAGATGCCGGTAGATACCGAGTTACCACCTGAGTCGAATGCTAATGTATTATGCTCTGAAATGAGTGAGTATACCAGATGATTGCACACCAGAAACCAAGACAATCAGGTGTCTGGAAAGATTTTCTTCCGGGCTTTGCTAACGAGCACCAGAATTACGTAGATCGGAACGAAAATCGGCCAGTGAAAAGGGATCGCTGGTACCTGATTTGGTTCTGTGTCCTGCATTCTAGGCATTTCTATCCAAACAACAGTGAATGTAGAGCCACATATCTCACTGCCAGAGCATATGGACAAAACTGGAGGTCTGTGTGATGTTTTTATTATTATTATTATTATTATTATTGAATTGTCTGAACGTGTGACACACTCGGCTATGAATAGACGTGAAGTGGCCCGATAGACGTACAGAATTCTAAACGCGTGACATAGAATTGAAACCTTTTTCTGTTCATTTTATTCTACTAGGTATTGTCTGNTTGCCCCCCCCCCCGCCGCCACTCACGTGATTGACAACAATAACCCAAGTGCTATTTTGGATTCGTCCTCTCTCTCTCTCGGTAGCGTTTTGGGCGCGACAATCGATCGATCCAGTTCGATCACAGAATTGCAGTGTTTGATGACGGAACCTAGTAAATTTGAATCTATTTGTGTGGGTGACTGTCTAATGTATAACATAACTTACAGGGTAGATCGATTTTGAAGCAACGGGTCCATACCTAGAGCATTATTATAGGTGGTAAATATAATGAAATTCAATTTGATCAGAAAGAAAATATTTTGGTGCATAACAATCAGCCAGTACTGTAGCTTTACTTACTAACCTACACTGGATTTTCGCTTCCGAGCACGCGGTCTGTGCCAGGGAAACGTGTAAAAATTTCCAGATTTCATAGCCTCCTGATTAATTTAATTAATTATTTTTTTCACAAAATCATTTTCAATCAATGATATGTACTAGTCAATGTGAAGTAACCATCCGAAGGTTACTATTGCTACCATTACTACTACTACTACTACTACTACTACTACTACTACTACTACTGCTACTACTACTAATAATAACAATACGGATCGTGCCCAAGATTTTGTAAGAGTCATTTTGAATTTCTTCCGGTATGGCGGTCGTCTTGGCCGCATTGTGTCGATGTCGTTCACTCTTTTCCTTTTTTATCTACCCCCAGTTTCCTTCAATCCATTTTTTGGGGGCTAATCTATAGATTCCTATTGCGTATTCCAACATCTACATTCTGTATCTGATGTGATCTCCTCTT